AAATTACGATATCAAGAGATAAGTAGTGAAAGGAAAAGCGTGGTCACATTTTATTGTTTTATCTCATGGAGAATAAACTGGTTCAGTATAGAAGAGTTTGAATATGCTAACACCGAGCGCCAATTGTCACGTGTCGATTTCACCTGGTGAGCTTTCACAAAATTTGAAGCATTGCCTGATTCTAGAAATGTCAATAACAATCTTGAATATTTCTTTTACTACCTCGCGAAATAAACTAATGTAAGACTGACTGATTCGAACTATACAGCTTCTATCTTACAGACACTCATAGCCTGTTTATAGCAATCTGCGTTGAACTGTCTTAAATTTTGCCCTAGAAATCAATTTTCTCAAGAAAAGGGGGTATTTTTTACAATTCACACTACATAAACACTTCAAATGTAGAAAACGATCTACAATTTTTACAAAGTTAGGGGTCAATTTATAAAAACATCTGAAATTTTCTCAACTACATTTAACCAACCGTTTTACGATACTGGGAAACGGAGGATAGTTTCTGTCGCGTGTGACTCGTTTTGTGCTTTTTTTCACCTCTTTTGGTAAAAGCAGAATTTGCTCACACAGCCAGTAAAAAGTTTTGGTGTTTATTTCATAGTAAAGCACTTCTGCAAACTGAAAACATTAACTATCGCAGACTGGGATTGCGCCAGGAGAGAGAAAAAAACATAGCCAGAGTCCCGTCTAAGGTTATTGTTTCAACCAAAACAGTCACAAAAAAGGACAAAACAAAACAGCACACTTCTTGACACGTTGTTTAATACAGAGAAACAAGCTAACACTGTTCAAAACCTGGCAAAACATTTCCTAGCAAACGAGGCACCTGTTATTAGTCGTCACCTCGACTCGTGCTCCTTGTCAGTGCCTCGGGAACTGTTGAATCAAAGACACGTGCCCTGTATTACGTGTGCCACGCGCCGTCGAACGAATAGCGTTTGCCAGTTCGCTGGCAGAACAATTAACAGATGAAGGCACGTGCCCTATCAAAAGCAAGCCATTCAAAGTACTATGCGACATTTAAATGGTTTATCCCTCCACTGAATAAACAATCTCAACCTGTTATACAAAAAGCTAAGTATAGAACATCTAAAACAAT